TAATATACATTTTTTCATTTCGTAAGGTTACGCGCTTTGTCATCCAGAAGTCCCGTATTCTCCTTTCCACAAACCTCATCAGGATTGGCGCTGTTTTTCCTTCCCTCGCCCCTAGGCGGTGAGCAGCCTCAACGTCCTCAGGGGCAAGTTGCGGCAGCTCGAGTTTATCGGCCAAGTTCTTTACGACTTCTAACATATTCTCGTTTGGTCGTTGGGCGATTCAATGAATTTCGATATTTTTGCGCCGGGAGTACTCCTCCGCATTATCCGCTGCTATCTTTAGTTCCCTAATTTGCAGGTCCTGCTCGGTTACCTTAGCTTCTAGTTGACCCGTCCTCTTTGTCAGCTCCTTGATTGTAGCGCTCTGCTCATCCAGTCGCTTAAGAAGTTCATCGCACTTCCCTTACAGGGTGCTCATCGATGCATAAATTGCTTCGACAGTTTTTCCACGCGCACCTAGCTCCGTCATAATTTCATCGTCTTTACTGCTTCGTTTTTCTAGAGATTTTTCCACGCCTTCCATCCTGTTTAGGATGTCAGTTAGTTTCTTATAGATAGCTTCGTTTGTGGGCAGCAACTTATCTACATTCAGCTCGCGGGAGCCACTCGAAGTGGCCCTCTCCCCTTCTGCGGGGCCGCGCTCATCGGACGTTTCATACTGACGGGAAACATGAAGTTTGCACGTGTTACATTTCCACGCATTGACGCTCTCTGCCGTCATAGCCTGCAGGGGCCTTTTCGTAACGCCAGAGCACTTCCCAGTATGGTACTTGTTTTCGCATTCTGAGCACTTTAGACTGAGACCCCTGCAGGCAAAGAATTCATACATGCAATACATTCGTTTTCTCCCGCCATATCACAGCTTTTAACTAAAGAACACCAATAGGCAGACCAGCGAAATGCAAATCCGTAGGCTCACGCTGACGTATTGAGTCAAAATCAAGCTTACCTAAAGCAGAAAAGGCAGCGCTTAGCTCTGGGCATAAGGCATCTCGCTGGTCTGCGACGTGCTCTTCCGCGTTTGGCGCTTTTGTAGGCGGCGAAACCAGGCTCTCGGTGTCACAGCAGATAACCGTGGCGCTTGCGGCGTGGCCTGCTGCGGCTCGCTGAACTTCCACGTGACGAAAGCTGCCGATGACTGGGCAGCGGGCGATCTTGTTGCTTGTTCCTCCTGCGCTGGGCGCTGCTTCGCAAAGCCGAAGGGCTGCGGTCGTGGGAAATCAGACTTGAAGCCGTTTACCAACGATCGTCGCCTAAAACAGAAAAGGAAGCGCTTAGCTCTGGGCATAAGGCATCTCGCTGGTCTGCCAAAGAGAAGCCCCAAAGGCTCCAAGAATGCGCCTCCACTTAAAAGCCGTGGAAGCCGCTGTGGCCGACTCCATGGAAGCGTATGGCAGCGACCAAGAAGAAGATAAGATTCTGAGCCGAAAGGTTCTTGTCAACCACGTAAGAAGCAAGAGTGTGCATTATGGCGAGCTATTGAAAGCAACGGTCGGCTCATTTTGGTGCACGCCCTTGAAAACGCAGCACCAAGGATGAAACACCCGATCGTTGTACACGCCGACATCAGCCTTACTCTTCACGTGGTGAAAACGCCGACCAAAAGACTGGGATCAAACTTATGTATACCATCAGATGTCAAGAGCAAGAGGGCGGTGATGGTCCTCCTGGATGGCATTAAAAATGGGATGGCGCCACAAGCAACAAAACACCAACGAAAACGAAGACGAAGATATTTTATAGACAATTCGCGAGCTGCTCAGCACGTTGTTTACGACGCCAGAGCAGGAAAAGGTGTTAGTCATCCAGTTCAGCTCCGAGCAGCTGGAGCTGCTCTCAAAGAAAAAGGAGCGGGGGCACTACTCGGTGAACTTCATGATCTTCGGCTGCGTTTTTTTTCACCATATTTTTCATGCCTACAAATATGACCCCAGCAGTGTAAACGTTTCCCGATCGAAAAGACCATCAGGTTTTCCTGATGGACCATCAGAGTTTCTTGATGGTCCATCAGACTTTTCTGATGGCCCATCAGGTTTCCTGATGGACCATCAAAGAAGTCTGATGGACCATCAGCCCACTCCTGATGGACCATCAGCCCATTCCTGACGGACCATCTGACTTTCCTGATGGACCATTAGACTTCTTTGATGGCCCATCAGGCTTCCTGATGGACCATCAAGAAGGTCTGATGGACCATCAAGAAGGTCTGATGGAGCATCAAGAAGGTATGATGACCATCAAGAAAGTCTGATGGACCATCAGCCCATTCTTGACGCACCATCCGACTGTCCTGATAGACCATTAGACTTCTTTGATGGCCCATCAGGCCTCCTGATGGACCATCAAGCTTCCTGATGGACCATCAAGAAGGTCTGATGGACCATCAAGAAAGTCTGATGGACCATCAGCCCATTCTTGACGCACCATCCGACTGTCCTAATGGACCATCAGATGCGTTTAGATGGTCCGTCAGAAGTTCCTGAAGGCGCCTAATGGTCTGTTGGACACTCTTGATAGGCTGTCAGAGGTGGTCTAATGGTCGTCAGAAGTTTTATGTTTCACTTCGGTTCCATCAAAAGCGCCTTATTTCCCGGCCGTCGGGACTTTCTTTGCGCACAATGTTTGTCAAAAGTGCTTGATTAATTGTTGCTCGCGGTATTCTGACGGCGCCGTCAGAGGCGTTTAATAACAATTGATATATGGGTCGCGACATATTTGCCAGCATGTGATGAGTCGCGGGCTCGCGAGGTGCTGACACAACTATGTCGCGCGATTTGTCTTTACTCACTGAGTCCCCGATTCACCGGCAACTGTGCGTTCGTCTGCAATCACGCACCGTGGAAACCTGTACTCACGGTAGGGTTCATCGTTTCGCATATGCTTCATCTACGCCTTTCATTACCAACGGAAGGTGGACAGACTTTTCGTCGACACAATAATTTTTATTGACACGGCACCCCCCGAGCCCCGCAACCGTTGTGCGCATCGGACGGTCGCGGCGGCAATTAAGTTCAGCTTCCAAACAGACCGCGCGGCCATTGCTTTGCTTTACTTTGCTCGAAGGTTAAATAGTCGGGGGAATGCGCCACCGCCTCGCTGAATGAGCGGCCCAAAGTCGAGGAGGATCCGCAACTTTGCACGCTACAAAATAGGCGATTTGAGGCTATGTCGCGATAAAAAAAGCTGTCGTTGAATCTCGCGCGTATGATATATGATGGGCCGCAGCCGCGTGGTCAATGGGTTGATGTGATTTTTTTTATTAAGGAAAAGCCTTATATGTCTCGTCGTTCAGACGACCTTAAAAGTTCTTGAGCGGAAACACGTCGAGTCACGAAAAGTGCTAAAACCGGCGACAGGAAAGGTAGTAAAACCTGCATTATTCAGTATTCAGCTGCACTAGAACCCTTTTGGACCAGGGCGGTCGTTAACGAAGCAGCTTCGCAGGGGTTTTAGACTGAATTAAAGTTTTCAACACCACCGCCACCATCAGAGATATAATAAAAATTAAAAAAAACACACAAAAAAAAGTTTTCTTCCTTCTCCCGGGGGGAGTCGAACAAGCGACTTCTCGTTCCGTATGCCGACGCGCTACCTCTGCGCCACGGGCGGAGGACTGTCGAGGGTCGCGTAAATTATGAGTTAGTCTTTAATGTATCGGCTACTGCCGACGCATCGGCTACTTGCGGCGCCAGTTTCTTTACACGCAGTGTTGACACATGACAGATTTCTCTCAAAAATGTTCTCATTCAAGTTCATACGCAGTGTTCGACACTCGACGATCCGTTAATTTTAATGTATACTTTATATTTTGAAAAACGTTCGCCGCTTATATCCGCTCGAGCAACTGCGTCTTCAAAAGCTTCGAATCCAAATCCAAATCCAGTTGTTTCGTGCGCGTTGTTGCCTCGGCAGCCTCACCCTTCCTCGTGGAGTGTTTTCGAGGTTTTAGATATTTCGGTAGGTTTCACTCGATTTTGCGAGAACGGGGAAATAAGCGACGTCCACAGGGCTTTATTTAAAAACTGCAATCCTTCGAATGTGGTCGACTTCGAGCGTAGGACGGCGTACAAGGTGTCTTGGGACGGTGACGCGAACACTCGAGGAGGCTATTACGACGCCCAGATCCTCGAACTGACGGGTGAGTGTGTATTTTTTACCATCCCAAAGTGCGACGTAGCCACAAGCAATCGCCGTTTTCTTTCTTTTTTATTGCGACTGTAATTAAAAGTGAATATTGTAGACTGCTTATATGGGGCACCAAGCTAGGCAGATGAATGCATGGGCTAATACTTCAGTTGAGCGTGTGGACTGAACTGCCTTGCACGTGACATCATATGGCACCCTACAAGCCGCCATTGCTCCTGTGCCTTAAGTCCGCGCTAATTTACTCGTACTCCACCGTTCCGAGTTTCACACTCCGAGCGCAGCAACTAAACGAAGCATAGCGTACAGTAGTGCAACACACCGAAGCTGTCGGCGAGCTGTATGAGCCACTTCCGACCACAGTTTTATGACAAACCCAGCATCTCGCGGATGCCAAAATTATTTTGAAGATAAACTAATTAAGGGCTCTATAAAATGGTAAAGTAAAAGCCCCCCCCCCCCCAAAAAAAAAAAAAGAAAAGAAAAGAAATCCGCAGCGACGTTAGGAAATTTTTACGAATGGTTTTAATATTTGTGAAAGGTTTGAAGACTCGCTTCGACCAGATATGCTGAATGTTACTTTGACCGATCTATTTATTGACCATGCATGCTGTTTAGATTCAAATGAAAGACAACATTCTTGAACTCGCTTGTCAAAACAAGAAACTCTCAAACTTGTCAGATATCTTGGGTTTCCGTCTTCCAGCACGAGATGGAACCTGTCGATGTGCTACTCCAATACTGGCACACCACCGTTCAATAAATAGCACATTAATTAGTTTTCAGGCGAGATGCATGGACAAACGTTTTCCGCAACGTTTTCGCTTTCCAATCAAGTATCTTTATTCGCAGGGCTGTGCATTCTACAAAGGGCAGTGATCGGACTGTCCTCTCATCTCAACAACTTTTCTGTCGCTGTACCATCATAACGCTACTGTTCGATGGGTAATTCGTTTTCAGGTGAGATTCGGGAACAAACCTTTTCCGTTATGGTCCTGGCTTTGAAATCAAATCATTTTACTCGCTGGGTTAAGCATTCTTCAACTGAAATGAGGCAGCGATCCACTGCACTCTTCGTCTCGGCGACGTTTCTGTCAGCGCGAAGAAATGACTTGCACTTCGAGAAATACTCGGTGCAAAAAGAGCACGCTTGAGTGTCAGTCCTTTGGTGGCGCTTCTGTCCATTTAATGAACAGAGCGCCAAACTCTTGCGCTCCGCAGCACAAACTTAGGCGCACAATCGTGGCTGATTCAATGTCAATTCATGCGAGTCATATAATACATGGCTTGCATTGATGTTGGATCAGCTGCCATTGCTTCCTGACCAATTTATTTATTCATGATCACAAATGTACAGTCGGGGACAAAAGTCCCCAGGACGTGCTAGCTGCGGCTGAAACCCATTGCTCTGCCACCTGTTGGCGGGTCGCCTGGTTTCGAGATCACACAAAAGCGCATGCGCGTCCTACTCTGCCTGCAAACATGTGTTTCCTGCTCTTCTGCGGCACAGCACCTAACTAGGAATCGGGCACATGGTACTGCCTCGGAGATAGCGCTGGCGGCTGACGAGCGTCTGCTATACATTCCAAAACTCGAGATACCGCCTGGGGCATTGCGCCGCATTTCGTCGTGTCAGCGCACCTTGCTTTATAACCAGTTCAGCTTATCGCTTAATTGAGCTGCCGTGACTTCTTGCTTTATAGGTGCCATGTCAGTAAGCACTATCTCCGAAGTGGTACCACGCGCCCGATTCCGAGTTAGGCGCCGCGCCGCAGCAGAGCGGGAAAGCGCACACGTTGGCAGGTACAATAGGACGCACGTGCGCCCTTCTGTGATCTCGAAACCAGGCGACCCGCCGGCAGATCATCATCATCATTTATTTTTCCTTGAGGGCCCCAGAGCCATTATACAAGGGAGTGAACACACTAAAAACATCAACAAATATAGTTAATAAAAAACACGCTGTAATCTATACTTGTATTTCAGAAAGAAAGAGGTTAACGGCTGCAGCAAACTTGTTAGTGTCAGTCATGTTTACAATGAGGTCAGGTAATGAGTTCCACTCGTCAATAGCAGATGGTAAAGTCGACATTTTATAGGAGACAGATGACGAAGTAATTGAGCGCAGTTTACATGAGTGGTCAAAACGAGGGAAAATACGGTAGGGAGGGGATAGTAGAGAATCTTTTAGATGGTTGTCGTGGTAAAAGATTTTGTGAAGAAGAGTGAGACGTGACACCCTTCGACGTAAAGAAAGTAAGTCAAGGTTAGCTGATTTGCGTAATCCTGATATGCTAGTGTATGGGGAGTAGTCAGAGTAAATAAAACGAAGACCTCTGTTTTGAACGGATTCAAGGTTGTTAGTTAGATATGATTGCCATGGTGACCATATGGATGAAGCAAATTCAAGTTTAGATCTGACCAAGGTCGTATAAGCTAGTAGTTTTACTGAAGGTGTAGCTAGTCTGAGGTTACGGCGAAGAAATCCGAGAGTACGGTTAGCATCGGCAGTGACAGCACTTATGTGAGTAGTCCATGACAGATCAGAGGTCAGGTGAACGCCTAGGTATTTATATGAGGAACAGGTAGCTACTGGGATAGTGGAAAGGTGATAAGAAAAGGATGAAACATGTGAACTGCGGGTGAATGATAGAGATTTACATTTATTAAAGTTTAAAGTCATTTGCCATTTGTGGCACCACTGAGTTATAAGTGCGAGGTCATTCTGCAAAATTTGATTATCGTGGTTTGAATTAATAGGTCTATAAATTACACAGTCGTCGGCGAAGAGACGTATTGAAGAGGAGATGTTGAGGTAGAGATCATTAATGTATATTAAAAATAGAAGGGGGCCAAGAACGGTTCCCTGGGGGACGCCGGAGGTTACAGTGCAGGTGGTAGATTTGGTGTTGTTAATAGATGAGTACTGGGTGCGATTTGTGAGGAATTCGGAGATCCATTTGACGACTGAGGGATGGATATTAATATTTCTAAGTTTCAGTAAGAGACGTTGATGAGGGACCCTGTCAAATGCCTTGGAGAAATCAATAAATATGGCGTCAGTTTGCTTATTAGAATCAAAGTTTGAGTAAACGTCAGTAAGATGGCAGAGGAATGCGTTTCAGTCGCAGCTTGCGTGTCCTGGGGACTTTTGTCTCCGACTGTACCTACAAGAAACCCAAGAGGAAATGGCAACTGAACTGGCCAGGTGCAAACAGGCAGCTGAAGCATCTGCAAGTTCACACAAAGCTGCTCCTCCCAGGAACGTCAGCCCTTGTGCCCTCTAACGCAAAGCAGTTTTTGTGGAAATTTTGTCACCAGAATATCATTACCTGTCTATGTAATGTGGTACAGCCTATTTTTTCTGGGAGTGTCCAAAAGCTAAATCTTGGCGCTAATTAAATTTTTAGATGCGGTTTATGTCAGGACAAAAGCTGAAAGTGACGATGTTGCAAGGCTCTCAAAAGCAGCGCCAGCCACATATAGCTAGCAGCGACCGAAATGGGCACACAACTGACCAATCCAACTGATGCAGAAAGAGAGCTGGTCGTGCACAAAATGAGAGTGTGGAAAGCAGCTTGGGAATCCCAACACTGCGTAATGTCATGTCGAGTCCTTAACATTTATACTTCCTTGGGATTGCTCTGTTTCACCACTCAGTCAAGGCTTTGCAGTTTACCAAGCCTTCTTTATTTCACAAAGGCCAGTAAAGCAGTCGGGAGTGACAAGGAAGACAAAGAATCAACTAAATCACAAAAAAAAAGAAAAATAGCACAGGGATCCAGTTTGATGCCGGCAACAATGTGTTGTCATGATTTGTTGATGAGGAATGCCATGCTTTCTGCCTACACCCCAATGTGCGTGAGTAATGCTGCTAGGGGGCACACCGGCAGAGCTGCTAGAAACACCTTTCTCTGGCTTACCCTGCTCTATCAATTGCAGGACTACCTGCGGCTCGGCTGTTGATGCGGGAGGTGCTGTAGGGCCCTACTGCCTAACACGTAAGTCATTTATGGCCTGACCTCTGGGTACTCGTTTGTTTACCGTACTAACAGAACCCATGCTTTAGCATTAAAAAGGTAACTTTTTTAATGAACCTGCAGTATATGAAAGAAGTTTGCTGTGCGGTGATAGAGCCGAACATGTCATATGCAACACATGGCTTATATCTTGCATAGAGGATATTCATTCATAAAGGGTGGAAACAATAATGCTGAGAAAGAAGGCATAAACGGCAAAGAGCTCTCTACTCTACTGTTGTGGCTGCGCTCTGTTGCTGAGCAGGATGGCCGAGGAATGTCCTTCCTACGTCATGACTACGTAGCAAGTTCCCCAATGTTGCTAGATTACCTCCCAAATAGGCTCCACATGCATCCACCAGGTGCACATTGAAAGATTGTTTGATTAGCTTTAAAATTAGTTTGCTTGTGCCCTTCAGCAAAGGACTGGTATTTTTGAGGTTATGTTGCAACCTGCAACTCATTAAAGTGATAAAATGAGCGCTGGAATTTGGTTTCTGTACCTCTTTCATGTGAAATTGTTTTTTTTCAGTTGCTGACGAGGACATCCTTGCAAAGAATGAGATCGTGGATCCTAGCATCGGCCTCCAGAAAAGGAAGGAATGGTAAAATAGAAAAACTTCTCACTTTCATTCAGTGTATAATATACATTAAAAGAGTTTAGGATAGTGCAGGGGTGGCCAGAGTGACATGGAGTTAGAGCCGCAGACAAAACTACAAAAGTTTAGAGTCGCTGGAAAAAAGAAAGTGGGGGGGGGGGGGGGGGGCTACTTTTAACAAGAAACAATATAGAGGGAACAGTTATTTCCATAGAGGACAAGTATAATGGGCGATAACAACAAATGACACTATGCATCAGAAGGTCCTTTCCACTGCTAAGCAAAAATTAATACACATTTCACTAGCCAGTCACTGCCCCTGACAACTGTTATGCGTATACGGTTGAAAGTCTTTCTAGAACAATAAAGGAAACAGGGTCACTCGACGCATCTATGTGGCAAAAAGCATTCCAGGTGTATATATTTAGTGTGTTGCCAGGCTGCCAAGACTTGTAGCTCTTTCTAAATTCCAGAACCCTTTTCGTCTAGGGGACACGTTTTCCAGGGAGCCGGGAGCTGCTTGGACCCGCAAAGAGCCGCGTGCGGCTCGCGAGCCTCACTTTGGCCACTCCTGAGATAATGTAAGCACAGTAGATTGAATCGATCGCAACAAGAAGTCATTAAAACATTATTGTAGCCATGCTCTTAATTGTAGTTACAGCCACTGCCTGGAAAACATTCTGTTGTCATGCTCACCTGATGCAACTAAGGGATTATGTAGCTGTTTCATGCAGATGCCATGAAGCTTTGTAGGCCCATCAGCTTCGCAGACGCCCATGAAGATAGGAACTCATATGTAGTGCTGTCTTAAATTTAAAGGCCTAAATTTCATTCATGTAATTATTTTAGTGCATTTTCAATGCATCTTGGAGTATACAGTACCACACTACGTCAACGACTGGTATATGTGAAGCTGTTTCTCGCTTTTGTTTATAACAGATCCATGTCGGGCAAGGTGTGCACGTCAACCAGGAATGCGGGCAACATGCGGAAAGCAGAGTGCGACTCCATGTTTTGCAAGATCACTGCTGCTTCCATAGGGTGAGTGGAAGTGCTTTTGGAGAGGTCGGTGACCGGCACCCTCTCCAACAAGGCAAAGGCAGCGAGGCAAGAGAAGGCGTTTGCCCCGCTCCCTCAGCGCAAGGTGAAGGCTCTCTCATTAAGCAAACATTTTTAAAATCTTGATATGAATCTCGCGGAGTCGCGTAAAATATTTCATGCTAAATTCGTATCAACGAAAGCAAAACAAAATTTATATTTTGAAACACAAGGAATGCATGAATGTGCATTTATTTATGGCAGCAAATATCTTGTATGCAATTTACACGATTCTAACATGCCCCCGATAGTAACACACGGTTATAATCAACCCACGAATGTTGAAAAAATGAATTAATGTTGATTCTACTGCGCAGATAAATGTCGATTCTACTTCGCACATAAAATAATGACGGCTGAACAACATACACTTTGTGGAAAACATTTCATCAAATGCACATACTTAGAAAGTGCCCACACTATGTGCTGTTGAAGCCCTACATCAAAACCTTGCAAGCAAAAATTCGGTTTCTTTGTCTTTCCAACCAAGCTCGCATGTCACCGTGGACCACACCGAAGACACCACCAACATCACTCGGTTTTCTGTTTTGCCAACGCAGTTACTTTGTTTTTTCGAGGTAACCTTATTGTAAAATCGGTTTTGCTTTTCCAAGGCTGAAACACCATTCCACGAGATCGCAAACACAAAAAAAGCGATTTTGGATTCAGATTGGATTGGATTTGAAACATGTGTTGATGGTGATGGGGCTGGCCACTTCGCACATTTTTTTTAGCATTTTGTTTAGTTTTGGTTTTTGGGTCCGATTGTAACATGCATGTAATTTTGAGCTCCAGTTTTTGGGTAAAGTGCGGCTGATCCCTGGCGGAAGCAGGCAATCAGCCGCCCGGAGCCTTGAAAGCTTACAGTCGCCGATCGTGGCCTCCTTGCCACTATCAGTTGTGGAGCACGCATTCGTATCAGCCGTTGCAGCGCGTAGAGGAATTCGGAACACCCAAAAATTTTCACGTCTTATACAATGCACTTCGGCCGGGGAATTTGTTAATTTCTTTTATTCCGAAATTCGTACCAGTTAGTATCACCGAGATTTTACTCTAGTAGGTTGTCTGCTAACACCTGGACATGTGATGGGGGCACCCCGCCAAGAATGAGTCAATCATAACAGATAATAACCGTAAATAATCGCACATTTGTATTTTGAACAGATAACTTTATTTTTCGTTCTAAGCAACAAACTCGAGCAAGTGCTCGAAGAGAAGTCAACGGAGAGCTCGATGCGTCGTGGGCTATCCGGCAAAGCTGGCGTGGCTACGAGCTGTGCCGTTCGGGTGCATAGTGGTGGTGTAGACGTGTTACAGCCTAGCCATTTGAAACACCTGTGGGCTTTACGTGGACCAAAGCGGACTAAGCCGTCTAAGCGCCTATGTGTGAGATAAGTAATGTCAAGGTCATCGCGTTCAGGGCGAGATTACTCCAACAGTTGAGTATACCTCCAAACAGCGGCGCTGCTCCGATGTGCGCTGCTCCGGGGCGCTGCTCCGGTGTGTAGTGCAGCAACATAGCGGTTTTCGCCATGTCACGACTACGTCCAAGATCCCCAACATTGCTAGATTACCTCCCAACGAAGCTTCAGAGGCCTCCACCAGGTGCACATTGAAAGTCTGTTTAATTACCTTTAAATTTAGAGCCAGGCCATGAATGAAAGATCTTTCAAGGAACGTGAAAGATTGTTTTTATATAGAACTGCATTGTTCTTTCTGGTGCTCATGATGCTATTTTTTTAATTCTGTGCCGTGTCTAAGCTGTTACCACAGCGAGGGATGATAACCAAGTATAAGCAGTTTCCAACGTACATTGTCTACTTATCTACAGTTGTAGCTCCTATTTCTTACAAGGTCACTAGCCTAGCAGTGAGATTTATAGACATGGGCTACCTGTTTTGTGCTTAAAAGAATCTAACAGAAGCCAGGGTGAGCTGTCTATCGGGAGTGGAACATAAATCAGGATACTGCGGTACTTTTGCTGTCATGGTGATCTCCGAACACTGTAAATACTAAGAAACGTTGAAGGCTTGTTAGGTGCCAGCTGCCACTTAATTGCTTTTATTTGAGACTAATTTACCCTTGGTCTTCTCAAACTATGACCCTCCAGCCTGTATTCATGACATTCTATATTGTTTTAAGTCTGAGCACTGCAAAAAATAATTACCCTGGAATTTTAATATTCCAGGCTGCTTTTGACTACACCTGAGGGAGAAAGGTACCGCCAGGCTGAAAGGGCAGCCCGGCACCAGAAGATACGGCGGTACCTGTCAGAAAAGCTGTCCAATCTCAAGAGAAATCACTACAAAGGTATGTGCATCTATACTCTAACTTCCTTAATTAAGTAATATACTATTTTGGGTCTCAAGTTTACAAGCAATTATTTTAAATGATGGTATAGATAAATTATTTAGAGGTTAATATATCTAAATGTTTATGCAAACAACTTTAAAGCAGTCTGTTGATCAGCTGACTACTTGAAAAAGGCTGTGGGTTGCTTGGTCGCTACTGCTATCCCATCAGGCCGTGCTCGCTCACTCTCCAAAAAGTTGCATGGTCACACAATTACAATGAAACATGTCACTCTTACTGCCCTTTAGTCGTCTCTAGGCCCACTCTGCTGTTTACGTATGTCAATGGTCGTCCTGTGTTTGGACTCATTGCTGATCTCTGAATTGCCCTTGATATGTCCAGGCTCGTCCCTTTGCTGCCTGTCCTCCCCCGATGCGTGGTCCCACCACGGACTGCCCATGCTGTTGCAGGTCTGCCATCGCTTGCACCCCATGTTGTAGCCTTTTTACCCTTTTCTTCATATTAATTTAGCTTAATTTATATATTGCCAATACTATAGAAATGGAACAAATGTACTATCGCAGCCAATATGAGCTGAAACGCCACTGGACGTGGCACGCGATGAGAGTTGTCTCTCAGATTGTTCAGCAAACCTTGGTATGCGTTGAGGTAGAAACAAATCACTTCTTGTGCTCGTTGCACCACTATGCCGTTCCGTGTCAATTTTCAGCTCATAGTGGCACAATGAGTGCAAGAAGCAACCTGCCTAAACCTCAGCTAACACAGAGGTTCACTGAAAATCAGACAGGTGGCTCTGATGGTACCACACGCCATGCGTCATGGCGCTTCAACTAATATTGGTCACAATAGTACTTCCTCAAATGTTTCTGGTTTTTCTGTACCACCTAGCCATTCCACCCAGCGAAACAATGCATGATTTCATAACTTCATAATAAAAATATCAAAGCAATGCAGCTTGTTTGGCTTTATTCTTATTAGTAGCTGCATTCGCCGTACTCAAATGTCGGGCTGGCGATTACCAGTGTGCAGTGGACAATATAATTAAATTATAAGTGGGATATGCACCTCGTCATGCTCCAGGCATGGCATAATTAAGTTTCCAGATTATGCATTCACATATTGTTGTTTTTTAAGTTGTGGCCAACTCGAACTGTTTCAAATTAGCCATGAAACCACCATAATCAAACCGTAAAAAAATAGGCATCTCAAAATACAACAGGTCATTCGACCATCTGACCAAACCAACAGACCATCAAACCATCAGGCCATCAAACCATCAGGCCAACAGACCATCAACCCATCAGGCCAATAGACCATCAAACCATCAGGCCAAGAGACCATCAAACCATCAGGCCATCAAACCATCAGACGTCCCAAAAAACGACTCCATCAGACCATCGGGATTTTCCTGATGGTCTTTTCGATAGGGTTGCTTTCCACTCCCGATGACTATCCGGTCAGTCTGCTCCACTTACGGGATGAACCCCCAAACACAGCGCGAAAATGCAACATTCCTCAGCCGCATGAAAAAGAAGATACTTGAGCTGGACGATCAGCAATGCTTTGCCATAGACCGATCCCACCAAGCGTTCCACGTATGCGTGACGCCGCCATAACTGTAGTTCATAGGATGCAGACGCCAATTCACGAGATAGCTCATGCCGCCTCGTGCTCTGCTCGCGCAGGCCTCCAGCAGGGTTGTAGCGCGTGCAGAAAGACTGCAGCTCCCACGATGCATGCCGGCAGCGGTGGCGTACTCAAACTAGCTGCTGAGATCGGTCTATTCGGATGGTAAACGAGGTCTACATAAAAACATTTTCTTTATTACAAAGGAGGAAGTATTACCGTTGCGGCGTTCAATTCTACAGAACTCGCCAACAGCACCCTGGATTTCATAGTTCAAAGCCTCACGTGCAAGCTCAAGTAGCTCATATTGTTAAAAGGCTAAACAGCGCAAAAAACGACGGACAAGGTAAAGAAGGACACGCACAGAGCGCTGTCCGTGTCCTTCTTTACCTTGTCCGTCGTTTTTTGCGGTGTTTTAACCTTTTAAGAATCTCATACCAACTCGCCCAGGCTTCAAATTTAGCTCATATTGTTCCTGTGCGTAGAGCGGACGCAAATTTTCTGCACAGGTTGCTTAGCGACGCGATTTGTGAGCTAGAGAAGATTGACTACGGAATTGCGTGTGTCGTCAGTGACAATAACTCCATCAACAGAAAGGCAATGTCTTATTTCATGACCTCCCCTCCCCTCCCCTCCCCTCCCCCCCCCCCCCCCCCCCCCCAAGAAACCACAAGTTCTTTATCGAGTCTTCTCTGGTCCTGACAGGCCACTGTTTTTCGTCCACTCTACACATAGTCAAGCACATTCGAAACAATTGGCTCAACCAAAATAATGACCTGCTTGGCTTTTACTTTCCTGCGTTTGAGGAGCCGACAGGGAAGCACATGCTGCATTCATCTTTTGAACCACCAGGGAGGCTTACAACTTGGAATGCGAACAAGTCCTGCGCTACAGCCACTGTGTTTCAAGGAAGGCTTTGAATCCATCGAGCCTCAAATTACAGAATGTGAATCTTGCTCCACAGATCTTCCACGAGTCCCTGCCCCATGCACTTCGTTTCCTGGGATCACATTCGGACCTTCTACACTTGAGGAAACAGCAACTTTCATCGAGATTATTCTTAAATGGTAATGGTGGGAGATTTTAAATGTCAAAAACTCCATACAAGGGAATTCCACAAAGAGACGACTTAAAAAACCAGTGTTCCCTTCAGTGGGCGATCCTAATGTGGAGTTCATGCGCAAGTTCTTGAATTGACTGGACGCCTGAAAGAACAAGGGTCTTGATGATGGTAAGCTCACAAGTGGCACCCATGGTGCTCTTTACCAAACAACTCGGGCACTCTTCGAGGTAGCCAGATTTTGCTATAATGAAGTTGAGCTGTCCTATGTCCTCTTGGAGAAGATACTAACAGTTTAAAAGCACGTTTTGAAAAATTTAGACAACTGGCTTGCTTCCAATATCCTCTGTGGATTAGGCAAGTATTTGAGCAGAACACAAACTGCGCCTCAAAAGCACATTGCCAAAGATTGCTGCAGCTTCGAAAGAAGAGAGTTATGAAGACCAGATGCCAAGCTCTTTACAAACGCACAGATGCTCCACAGCATAGAGGCAACGTAGTGGTGTCTGAAGAAGCGCTCTAGGAAGTAGAATACATCCTGCCTGTCTTGTTTTACGTGGCAGGATATGCGGTTAATGCCACGTTGAAGAAGCTGAAGTGCGAAAAATACAGGGCCGCTTTGACGCAAGGCAAGGAATTATGCGGAGGGCAAGTTCGTCTGCTTCTTGCGCAGGGGGTAGCGGTGACGTCAGAACGCCGAGCCCTGATTGGCCGATCGCGACCCCCTATCTGAGCGTTGTCTGCTCCTTTGCAACGACGTCTGCTCGCAACGTCGTCTGCGTCTGTCTTACCTTTCCTGCGACTTGATCAAGTGCAGAGGCCAGATTCACGAAACGATTTTACGCCAAAAATGTGCGTAAGACAAAACTTAAGAACAAATTTTATTCACGACACAAAATTTTCGTAAGGTTTGCGCAGGTTACGATGAAATCCTACCACAGCTCCGAAGCTGTCTTACGCACTTTTTACGATCAAATCAGTATGGCCGACAGCGTCGCGGTCGCGACGACCCACGAACGTTTATTTTTCTACGTTCGCTTCTCACGCGTCCCGACTTCAAGCAGCAAGAAAAAAGTAAAAAGTACCTGAAACAGACCACGACGAACAAGAACGCTGGATCGACAATCACCCGGGAAAAGCTCCAACGGCCAGGATTCCACCGAACGCGACCAAGCGAGCTCGGCAGTAGGCCTAGCGGGCACTCCGCGACTCGGCGACCGTCTGCCCACGACCGGCTGGCGTGCTTGATGGAATATGCCCGCGCGACCCTTGTGAACCCTCCCCGTAGTATACTTTGATCGCTGACCTTAATTTTAGATTAAGATTTTAACCTCTTGTTATCTCCTTGTTTCCCGAGGCAACGGTGACTCTCGCCGGTGAAAAAGCGGTGAATCTCCGACAGACGCAGGAAAGGTAAAGCAGCCATCGCTTTGACTAGCAGACGTAAAGCAGACGACGTTAACTACGCCAACCCGCCGACGCCGTTAAAGAGTGAGGGGTCTCGCAGCACACGAAAGGAGGGAAAAAGTATTTGGGAGGGAACTTGCGGACACTAACAAACTCACTCTCGATTCTTATCAAACAAACCTCAGCCCCTCGGGACACCTCTCCAGTGAGTCCTTTGACTTCCCTCCCTGATGCGCGTATGCTAGTTGTTAGACAAAAACAACGTACCGCTCGAGTTATTTCGTCTTCCCTCCTTGAAAGGCGAAGTCGAGCTCGCTCGTAAAGACCTGCACTTCCGAAAGTCGCAGGAAAGGTAAGACAGACGAAGACGATGTTGCGAGCAGACGACGTTGCAAAGGAGCAGACGACGCTGAGATAGGGGGTCGCGATCAGCCAATCAGGGCTCGGCGTTTTGACGTCACCGCTACTTCCTTTCTCATGCGCAGAAGACGAAAATGACCCCACTTGCGAGGCGTATTAGTTTGTCTTCCGGGAAAAGCACTATGATCTTGTGACGGCACGTGACAGGGAAGGGCTTGTACATACCACATTGTTTGCCGTTAATATGGTTAAAAAGAACTGCGTCATTGTGACACAACTCTCGAAGCAGTCGGAGTTCTTGTGGATGCCGAACCAGCGCCAGCTCGTTGCAGACCTCAATGTGGAGCTCTTAGCCAGCGGAGGTTCATCTGAATTCGACATGTATGAGGACGGGCACACACGCGAGCTTTCCCTTAAACGTACTGTGGAAGAGCACTAACATCTTGGGGAAGAATTTCTGGCAAAGAATAAATGACAGAAGCGTTGACGCCAACAGAAAAGCAAGGGAAAAGAATGCCGGACTCTGACAGACGAAAAAGAAAAAGCAACCAACTCGGGCTCATAATATTATGGATCTTGCAGGGAAAATACTAGTCACCTACTAACTCAGGGGCGGATCCAGAACTCGATTTCGGGGGGGGGAGGGGGGGGGGGGGCGGTGAAGGGAAGGTGCGCCGGTGTGCACTGAAAAGCGAGCAGGGACGATGTAGGGAAGGTTTAAAATTCTGCAAATGACCGAAATTGAATACGAATAACCGCCTATGGAGATAAAAAAAAAGGCGGTCGCAGTGTGTGCAGTGACCTTCGCGCACTTCAGACGAACTGAATCCTCTTCGTTTTTTTGTTTGTTTTTTCTTGTGAAAGAAGAGGATCATTTACCTCCATTTATCATACAGCTGCTGTTGTGGTAGTTCTCCTTGCCTTGAAAAAAAAAACGAGATTTGTGGAAGAATTGACAGTGCTATACGTGCTGTAATATTACTAGAATCCTAATATAGATTCTAGTGGTTAACTATGTACAGTATATTTTGTGTTCGGTACGAACGGGTTCATTTAACTATACGACTTAACAGCGATTTGCAGGATCCTCTCCCGGAGATTCTCTACTGTCGGATTTAACTCAATGAATGCACAATTTCATTCAATAAAGTGTGCACCTGTCGGTGGAACTTTCCTTAATTTGCTCACGTTTGTGAACTAGGTAATAATTGATCTTTAGTTGATTTCATTTGATTGATGAAGACGACATTGCCAAACGAAGTGTTTCTCTGAAAATCGCTGCGCGGGGTTCAGCACCATTGGTGAATGGCATGTGAATGAAGCACCTGCTCGGAGTCTCCTCGGTGAGACACCGAGGAGACTTTGGAGGTTTTTCTCCTTTTTTTTGGCAGTTACTCTAACCGTAACTAACTAGTATACTCTTCTAAGGTAGCATAAACAGGACTCCGGTTGCGCCTTTTGTTTTACCCGCCGCAGAATGACACTGCGCCGACGACCCCTAGATGTGCGTCGCTGCGCCGAATTATTGGCTGCAAACCGTGCTTCGAAACCGCCGCCGCGGACTTCAGTCTCGGTTGAAACGGCGGAGTGGCTCTCCGAATTCAGAGTACACGTGTGCCTGCTGGGGTGCGATCTACCCTATTTTGAACCCACGTCCTTGAGTACCGAGCCCACTACGACCTGGCAGGTCGGTTGTAGGTTTTATTTCGAGTGGGGTCCATCCGAAATTGCCCTCCGAGAAAAGGGAGGGGGGGTGTCGACTTTGTTTGGGAGGGGGAGGGGGGGGGGGCGCAGCCGCCCCCGTCCCCCCCCCCCCCCTTGGATCCGCGCCTGTACTAAGTTTTACGAGTTCCATGCCTGTTGAAATCGACAAACCTGCCAACCTGTACTGTGAAATATGTTATGTTTTAGTGTGAACAATTTATTTGAGAAGATCTTTCAACGCGGTTGTTAGGGTGGGTCTGCTCATCAACAATGACTTATCGGCGTTTGTGAAGATGTATACACGACTGTGCACGTGCCGGGATATGTAGTACAATTCAGTCGAAACATTCGTGCCTTCTTTCAACTGTTATGTTTGTATTACAACGGTTAAACCAGCTGAACCACGAAAATAGGGAGAAAGGAGTAAAGACAAGCGATCGCTGGACTACCAACTATTTTATAATTGTCCTTCGTTTTCCTCTCTCTGCCTACTGGCGTTGTGGCTACCTTCTCGGAACTTATTCGATCATTTAATGTTGTTGCTCCTCTATTAATGTCTTCATTTTCTCCCTATTTTCGCAGTTCAGCTGGTTTAACCATTGTAATATGTACCACCAACTAGCTCAGCTTCTGCCCCCTGTTGTTATGTTTGTGCTTCAACACCAAGTCGACATGCCGTGCATGGGATGGGTCAGGAATGTTCTGAATGAATACTCATGATTTTATTCGCAGCATTCATAGGTGAGATATACCATAATTTTAATTTGATTTGCAGTGTAGATGCCAGAAGCTTTTGACAAGAAGCTTTCTGAACTGCTTGCATTCACAAAGAACATTGATCACTGAGGTTGCAATGTTGCCCAAACTTACTTAAAAACTAATGCCGTTAGAGATCACTATGTTTTGTACCAGGATAGATGTTTAAACTCTTCGTCGGACGGATTTCACAGATAAGTTTATGTGATGTGACTTGTATATAGAAAACCGAGAATAAATTTGCAACACCAATGTTTCTACAACCCACGTTTCGTGACAACGTTACTGTCTAATCAGAAGTCCCCACACTTCGTTGCAGGCATGGGACAAATGACCCTGAAGTTTTATCCTGTTAATGTTGCGTTGTGAGCTAAAAAAAACCTTTATTGGAAGATAATTTTACAAACCTTGAACTGGAAGATATATGGCAAGATTTCAGGTAATTCTAGCTGCAAAAATAGGCAAAGTTTTCTTCAGAATAAATTGAAATCCTTGCATAAATTTCTTGCCCAAATAACAACTCTACGCCAAAAGGAACATCAGACCGCTAGTTTTTGCTTTTAAATGCACCGCTTAGTTTTAGGCACGAATGGATTTTTCATACATGCATTTACTACGCGAACCGTGGTGGTACTGTGACGTGTAATGGCGTTTCCAATCATTCTGTATTATGTAATTTTGGCAAGTATTATTCAGAAATAATCTATCTTCTGAGGATAATTATATCATTCACAATTAGGTGCTTAAAGGGATACTTCAACGAAATTTGAAATATTCCCGTCGTGTTCAGAAATACGTTGAATATGATCCACAATATCCGTAAATGACAATCGCACGTTTGTATTTTTAGCCTGGTGGCTGTATTTTTCGTTATAAACGGCCCACCCTGGCAAGTGCTCGGAGAAGGCCCAGTGGAGACCACGTGACATCCAACGCAATCGTGACGTAGGTCGTCTCGGGACGAGCAAAGCTACGGCGAGGCTGACGTCGAGAGAATGGCCTAGTCGTTCGAGCCACTGAAGCGGCTGCTTTTATACGAATTTTGAGTGACGCGTTAACCTTCTACAATCTTATAGGGGGAGAATAGCGACTTCTGCGACACACAAAAGGCATTCTCGAGAAGACGGAAGTTCCTCCTTCCCCTCTTCTCTCGTTGTGGCCGGAGGCGAGACACTCACCGTCAATAGCTGTCAAGGTTCCTAGAAGGGCATTACAAGCGAGGCGTTAGCGACATACACCAGCTGCTTTTTGCTAATCGTTTAATTCGTTTTAAAATTCTTTTTCGAGACTTTTTTTAACAAGATATTGGTATGTTCGATGTGATACTGCTCCTCTGAACACATATAGACCAAAAAATGAGCGCCGAAATTTCGTTGTAGTATCCCTTTAATAGTAAACTCTATCTAGCTCGAGACCTCAAACACACCTACGCTGTTCTTCTATTTTGCTTCAATGATTTTATTCAACAATAATTTGCCAGTTAAAGAAAATAAACTTCCTAACCCAAATTTTGTGCACAGTTAGCATTTAAGGAAATGAACAATATTGAATCAATAATAACCCGTTGCTATGACGGTAAACCACCACGCGTTGCCTTCTCTTTCGCTCCCCCGATGACCTCTTCTTTCGGTCATGCAGAAAGAGCGCTGCGGCCTTCCTAGTCTAGGAGGTGTTGGGCACGGCCTCTCTTCTTTCTTTTCTATTCTTCTTCCACCTCCTCTATCTCGCTCCTCGCGGGCATTTCAATCTCGAAGGCTGCGGCTGCGCAAGGCTGGTGTGGCGGCCAGTGTCTGTTGGGGCTGCCATGCTTCGAGAAGATCCTCGCGTGGATCAGGCATGCGTTAGATTTCTTAATCACGGCCTCGCAACTCGTTTCAGTGCCTCTCGGCGAGTTTCCGCGCCCACAGTGACCGCCGAAGCATTCTCCGCTTAATTTGTTGGGCGTTTCTGTCTCGTTAAAAAAATATTGATCGAAGTCTGTGTAGATGGAAAGGAATCATTGGTATAGCGGCTCATTGAGCACTTGCGGCCATACGGGAGCTTTAGTGGTTCGGTTTAAAAATCGTGAGCGCAATCTTAAGCCTTTGCGGAGGGCTCTGCTAGCCTTCGCGTCCGCAAGTTAATTTCTCCCGAATTATTTCGGGCGAGCGGTTGGCAATGGTAGCTCAAGAAAGAAACAAATCGACACGTTAAGCCCACCTTACGTTGAGCGCACACAACCCAATTTAAATCCGCTTGAACGGCATCAGCACTGACCGGCCTTTCCCGCCATTCTGCTGGCTCCTTTGTTCCCGGACGCACCGAACTAGAATATGAAACTCGGAGTGGATAGCATGCAATACGCACGGCATCCAAAGGAACTGAAGCACTGAAGTGCGGTGAACACTCTCGCACGGTTCGCTATCGAATGGCGGCACTCATCCGCCGAATCTGCGAGTGCATTCATCGTTGTACACGGCTGCCACTGCGTAAGATCAACCTCGTCTGACTCGAAAACTGCAGCCGGTCGTCGACAGTTAATACGTAATACGCTGCCACTCAACACCCGAACGTAGATCAAAAACAAAAACATAGCCCGCGCGGCCAAGGCGAAACAACACTCGACCGAAGCAGTAGTCAAGGATCTCACAGCGATTGCACAAACAGTAAAAAAAAAAGAAAAAAAGACAGCGAAACAAAACTAGAAAACTCTTTTTTATATCTTTATTTCATGATGTCAATTCATCACCTTTAGAATTTACCACTGAAAAGGCTCCCCGAAAAATAACCTGAAACGTCTTTGTTCAATGCCTGAATCGGCATCAGCATAAGGCGACCACTTTACATGGGAAGCTTACGCTTTGCCATCTCCCTCCTATTGCTAACAATCGACCCGACAATTCAACATAACGTGACATGCACGAGACAGCCCCGATGTACAAAAGAGAATCAACTTTTCCTTTCTACCAGTTATCTCCACAGAGGACTAAAATCAGTAATTTCTTTGCTCGTCTTCTTCTTGATGTTTCTCTCGAGTATCGAAATAATCCTCTTCTTCATGTGCGGGTCTGCGGAGATCCGTGCTTCTAGTTTGTCAACGTCGGTGATGTCGGCGTCCGGGAAGGCTTGCTCGATCTCCATGCACAGCTCATCCTTCTCCCCCTCGGACATATTGTCGATGATCTGGCTGAATGCCTTGGCTAGTTTCTTGATTACCAAATATGCCACAACCCCGCCAATGACAGCACCTGGTTGCCAAAGAAGAAACGCCAAGGGCAGGTCAATTACACACTGTTTTATCCACGTGGCTTCTTGATAAACCTATATGTCAGAAGGCGAAACAGTGGCTGCCACCTCGTTCTTTCCCAGAGAACCATCTTCTGTGCAGTTCCTCGAGAGAGGGGTGTAGTTACTACAGTGACAAAGATGCTCAAAATCCCAAGCTTCTTCTCGCCGTCGTTTTTTTCAATGCAACGAATGTTTTGAGTGGCTGTTGTTGATTTGGTTGTTGTTGATTTGGTGTTTACGGCGCAAAAGCTACAAAGGCCATAGAGCGCCAAACACGAGACTATTGCTGCAAAAGGTTTAGAGAAAAAAAAAGAGGCTTTAGTAGCCAGTGGTTAGATAAAAAATGGTAATGGGGTACCAAAAGGTAAAAGGGTGATGGGCATGATCTGTAGGTTAAGAAAGCTACATTCGGTGTAGAAGGCCGATACTATCTAAAAATTTGAAAACATTAGTGTGTGTCACAAGAGAATCATCACTTAACAGCAGAGCTGGGTCTAGTGGGACTTGTTCTTGATACAGTTGCGAAAAATACAAAAGCCATTGTTCATGAAGCAGGACATTCAACTAGAATATGAAAAAATGCTTGAGGCATTGCCACACTGCTCACAAGCGGGGGCATCTTCCCCACGAAGGAGGTAGCCATGAGTCAGATGAGTGTGGCCAATCCTGAGCAGGCAAAGGACAACCTCAAAAAGCGTTCCTGGTGGCGTGCACTCTGCCATTCGCTCAAAAGAGGTTTGATCATGAGCAACTTGTTGCCGATTTCTTGGTCCCATTCAGCCTGCCTTTTGCACTCAACGTGACGCCTGAGGAGGCCTTTGTAGTCTGCATAAAAAATGCTGTGGAGGTCAACTATTCGCTTTACGCAAGTACTTGCTGCGCGATCTGCTGCCTCATTGCCCGGAATGCCCACGTGGCTGGGGATCTAGCAAAATACAAATTGGTATCCCGGTCTTGAGGCAGCAACAACCTTATTTTGCAGTTCAAGGAGCAGGAAGTACTTGAGGGGTGTTAGTGAAGACAGTGCATGCAATGCACTGAGGGAGTCGGTGTATGCGATGGAGCGAGAGAGCTATTCATCAAGTATGAAGCCTATGGTAAGAATCAGACCATAGAGCTCTGCTGTAAAAATAGAAGCAGAGGAGTTGATTCGCCTAACAAGTTGAACTGTCAAACCAATCATGGAACACCCAACAGCAGACTCCATCTTTGTACCATCTGTCTAGAAGCTTACTTATTCGGAATACTGACTTTGCAGTGCTAATAATTCCTGAAGAAACACACCATTAGGAGTATCAGCTTTCTTCTATCGCGTGAGTGAAAGGTCACACTTAATGACAGGGTGCTCCCTAGGTGCCCCCGCAACCGTAGACTGCACTACCGGGGGCCTTCAATCGAGTCCCATGTTCTCACTGGCACTTTTCAATCTCAAAGAGAAGGGAGGCAGAATTGTGGCTTTGTTTTGAAACACCCTTTCAGAGCGCATGTCTTCCACAGCCATTCGCGCAGGGTGATCAGAGGTGGACCTGACTCCCAGGGAATACATAAAGCCAAGTGAAAATCTTTTCTTCTCAAGACAGAGCTTGTTGGCCTCTGCATACAGACTTGGCACAGGAGACATGCGAAAAGCACCCGTCGCCAATCGCAACCCATGATGGATAGGGTCGAGAATGTTTGGAATGGAAGGCCTAGCTGAACCATAAACAATACTGCCATAGTCCGGTAGTGATCGCACTATCAAGCGATATATCTTCAAAAACACGTCCGGTCAGAATCCCAGGATCGGTGGGACAGGACTTTAAGAATATTAAGTGATTTGTGAGCTTTTAATCTTAGATTCTTAATATGGGCACCAAAGGTTAGTTTGCTGTCAAATGTAAGACCCAGAAGCTTGTGCTCAGGCTTCACAAAAACTGTGGCATTGTTTAGTGCAAGAACAGGTTCTGAAAGTAGTCCGCGTTTCCGAGAAAAGCACACAGAAACTCTTTTATCCGAGGAAAACTTAAACCCATTTTGATTGACCCAGGTTGATAGCTCATTGATGGTTAGCTGAATTCGTCGCTCACACAGTCACAGATTGCAGGACGACACTGAGATTTGAAGGTCGTCTACATAGAGTGAATATTGCACCGATGAGGGGATAGCCAATGCAAGGGAGTTCATTTTGACAATAAACAAAGTGACACTAAGAACGCCTGCCTAAGTAACGGCATTTTCCTGGACAAACACTTTCGATACAGCTGTTCCTATCTGAACACGAAAGGTGCGCCTGCTGAGGTAGCTCTCAATGGTACGAAGCAATCGACCACGGATACCCATATCATACAAGTCCCTCAGTGTGCGAAAACGCCAAGCTGCAACGTAGGCTTTTTCGAGGTCCAAAAATACAGATAGGCAATGTTGTCGATGAACGAAGGCCTCACGCACGACTGTCTCCAGCCATACTCAAGAGTGGACCGAGACGAACGATAGCCACATTGGTTCACATCTAGATGTTTGTTTAGTTCAAGGAAATACATCAATCTTCTATTAATTATTCGTTCAAGAGTCTTTCCATAGCAGCTAGTCAAAGCGATAGGCCTATAACTAGCCGCACAGGATGACTCCTTACCGGGCATGAGTATGGGTATGATTGCTGCCATTTTCCAGTTCAATGGAAAGTAGCCCTCAAACCAAATACGATTAAAAAGGTATAAAACAATATCAAGTGTGGAAGGATAGAGATGTTGAAGCGTATAGTAATGAATATCCTCTGGACCAGGAGCCGATGACTTAGAGCTTTGGAGCACTATGTTCAGTTCGCGTAAGGTAAAGGGGGCATTATAAGCTTCGCGTTCACCACCGGATGTTTTCAGTACCATAATTTCAAGGATTGTAAGCAGTGAGAGAGTGCAGGCGAGCTGGTAATCAATCGTCATCTTGTAAACCCTGAGATGGGGAACGATAAAAAAACGGACGAACACAACAAAATCTCAATTGAGATTTTGATCTCAATCTCAATCTCTTGATCAAATCTCAATCTCTTGAGATTTTGTTGTGTTCGTCCGTTTTTTTATCGTTCCCCATCTCAGGGTTTACAAGATCATAATTTCAGCTTTTTTTTATGTTGCAGAAAAGCAGGCGAGTAATGCTGCGAGCTGGAAATGAATTCAAAATGCTCGCCAAGGATGTTGCCCTGCTCTTTAAGATTGTTTGGGCATTTTCCATTTCTGGAAAGAAGTGGAATAGTGGAAGCATGATATGAGCCATTTGCTTTATGAATCCTGTCCCATACTTCCTTGAAAGAACTTCTACTATTGATAGAGGACGCATATTCTTGCCAGCTCTCGCGTTTCGCTTTGTGACGAATGTACCTAGCATGAGCTTTCATTTTTGGGAAAGATATTAGGTTATCCCGAGTTGGATAACGTCTCAGAACACTCCAAGCTTTGTTTTGCTGTTTTCGACTATCTTTACAGTCTTCATTCCACCATGGCTTCGGTCGTCTAGGGAGCTGTCCAGATGACCGAGGGATTGAGAGTGACGCTGCAGTGAGAATATGGGATGTTAAAAGATGGTTGAGCTCATCAATCGAAAGCTGATCGAGGCGAGAACAGGCCAGGAGTGACGACTACTTAACAAGGCTCCAGTCTGCTTTTTCAGTCTTCCAGCGTGCATGGCGCGTAAGTGAAGACTGTGGAGTGACGTTACATTTTAAAATAATGGGGAAGTGGTCACTTCCATGCGGATTCTGATCAACAGTCCATAAAAAATCGGGTAGCAGATTTGGACTGCCAATAGAAAAATCGATGCATGTAGATGACAAGGATGAAGGATTAAAACATGTAGGATGGCCAGTATTAAAAATGCGTAGTGACTGTGAAAATAATATTGGTTCGATTATCTTTACACGTGTATCTGTAAGATCACTTCCCCAGAGGGTACTATGTGCGTTAAAATCACCGAGTAAAAGAAAAGGTTCTGGAAGCTGGCTTAAAAGAGAGTCGAGATCTTGTCGCTTCAAAGAAAGAGAAGGTGGAAAATACACTGAACATACGGTCATGGCTTTATGCAACAAGAGACGAACAGCGATAGCGTCGAGTGGCGTCTGAAGCGGAGCCTCTGCACAGAAAATATGTTTTGGAAACACCACCGCAACGCCGCCACAAGAAATGTACGTGCTAGGACGGTATTTACGAAACAAACTGTAGCGTCTCAGAAATTTAGTGCGGGATGTATTCAAGTGTGTTTCCTGCAAGCATAAGGCAGATGCCTTATACTCTTCTAAAAGGAATTCAAGATCTGCAAGGTTAGTGAATAAGCCACGGCAGTTCCACTGAAAAATTACAGAGCCCATTTTAAAGGATAAAACATTTCATAAATGAAATAAAGCAATCCTGCATGTGCTACACACTAAGGAGGAACCACCGGCTTTTTTCCTTTTTGTTTTGATTTAGCAGTTTGCCATTCCATGTCCTCCTGATCCGAGGAAGGAGCTGAATAGTCGGCAATGTCAACAGCTCCCACTGCCTCCTGAACCTTGGGCGCAGGTTTGCCAGTTTCGTTGTAGACGGAGACCTGAACCACGTGTTTCCGGCCACGGCCAGACCCCGCCGAAGTAGTCCTTGACGTACCAGGCCGGGACCCTCCCACATTCACGCTTTCAACGTCTTTTGCCGTTGATGGAGCAGCAGGTGGGCCCTGTTGCTCCGTAAAAAGGCGGGCCGCCTCCGAGGGATTGGAACGACGGCCTCGCTCTCCATCTTGAGAAGAGCCACTGGCATGAGGCTGCCGGTTTGCCGGAGGTCGTGCCTGAATCGACTGGGGAGTCTGTGTGCGCCCAGTGTTACCTGGGGCACCCTGCTTCCTCGCAGGTTGTTTCGGGGCCTGAGAAAAACCTGCCAGTCCTCAAGAGAGAACTGAGTGGCCCTGGACTCCGTACGTGGTGCAGGGCCCCTGCGCACCGCGTCGGAGTAGGTAC